AATACTAATAAATTGATAACATGATAACATTTTATTAGTGTGCTATTTAAATAATAATTGCCACAATTAAAATTAATTAGTAAAAATATATTTAGAGTTAAAATATAATATGAATTTTGTTATATATACCGTGGTTTTGTTTTCAAAAGAATTTGTTCGCCTAAGAACACGCACAAAAGGACTGTTGGAGAATGTAATACAACTGATTTTACGAAAAGGAAGCATTTCCTTTGTAGATAAAAAATAAAAGTACTAAAAATATTCAATGAAGTACATCTTCTAAGACTATAATACTTTTATGCCACACTAAACATAACATTTTCACATATACTATTTATTTTCATATACTATTTTGATAAATTATGTATGACAGACACATGTCACGGATATTGGAATGACGTCATTACATACAGTAACCTACCTAGCATCACATTTAAAATTGTAATTAGAATTGCATATAATGAATACTAATGAACTCAACTCAATAACATATTGAGATACTATGTTATGGAAACAGTTATTTAAAACTTCATAAATCATAATATAAATAATGTTGTAATTGATAAATCATAACTTTCATAAGCTTATCATTTAACAAAAGTAATACATTTTAGCAAAACATGAGCTAATTTACATTTCATATTTTCAATTATCAAGAACAACAACCACACAAACRACATTATTGAAGTTTCATGATAAAAATGAATATGCTTTAAGTTAATGGTGGGCATAGTCCGATTTCAAAAATCCTGATTTTACGCATTATCCAACTGTATTTTGAAGTTCAATGACTTATTTTTAAAATTTAATAATATTTTAATTCTATAACATAATTTTTGGACAAAGGTATATCAAATTTTCAACAGATTTTAAGTACCAGAGATATTATAAAATATAAGTATTAATTTATTGTTAAATTTTCATAATAAAATAAAATAATTTATTTTATTATACATTAAAAATAATTGTAAGTCAAAAATCACGTAAAAAAAAATCTATAAATCCTAATAATTGGGAAAATCCAGATTTGGATATCCRGATATTCGGATAATTCAGATATTTAGATTTCATGCCCATCCCTACTTTAAGTAAAATAATGTTTAATTATTGTAAAATTTAAATGTATGATGATACTTTTTTATACATAGAAATACAATTTATTATTTTTATTTGATTGTAATTACTAATTTAAACAATAGTGATTATATTAAATATAGTATTCCACAATCATGTATCATGAGTTATGACATTTTTATGAACCAAACATGTTCTTAATATTGAATCTTATACCTTATACTAATAAACAAGAACTATGTATAATAACATCATTACGAGTGCCATAAAATATCAGTTATTTAGGCCGAACTTATGACAAAATACAGTGATAAATAACCTTTCTTGAAGACAAAATACAATAATCCTTATATTTTACTATCTTGCACTACCACACATATTAAATAAAAACGAGCAAAGAATGAGCACAACTTATACTGTTAAATTTCCATACTCTCATTGCTTTTTTTAGTAATATAAGTCTATATATTGTATAAAATAAAATTTGATATCAAATTGATTGATATATTTTTAAATTTATTATTATACCCTGTGGCGCCAAACTCAATTTTTATAGAAAGGGTAAAGTASAAAAATTAATACCCACCYCACCCAGAAACACCTAACTAAATCGAGTATTCACATCAGTTTTTGATATTCGGGAATATTTATATTTATTTCCTCCCTATATGAATTATTTTTATACATTACCCTAACCACCTACGATTCATCCACCCACTTTCACAGGTCAAGCAGTTGCCATACCTAAACATAAGGTTCGGTGCCACTGATTATACCCAAAACCCAAAACCAATATTGATTAAAACAACTTCGTATCAAAAAAACTATTTACTTTTTTCATAAAATAATATTATGGTTAAATCAAAATAATTAAAGACGTAAGTGTTATCGGTGGCTTCTTCATTTAAAATTTCATTATATTGTCATTGTCATTGTCATTAGCTCATACTCTTATTGTGCCGATTGTGTATTTATTAATAAAGAAAAAAAAAACTTTTTTCATAAAATATAAACACTTCTATATCTACAGCAATTAAGAAAAATAAATATTATTTTTACTAACTAATAAAATATCAACTTACACAAAATCCATCCGTTTCTGRAATGAAATCTTCAGTTCCTTCTTTGATATTTTGTAAACTTCCCCATATGTTAACAATACAATCTTCGTCATTAGTTTTAAGGTCTCCCAGACTTTGAGTAACAAGGGGATATCTTGAACAGTCAAATTCTGTACTTGATTTAGTTTTGACATCTGATAATAATATTTCTTGACTTCGATAACTGCTACCTAAACTCATTCCTTCACACGAATTATTTTCATATTGTACACTACTCTCACTTTTTGATCTACGGGGCCCAGGTGATCTGCTTAATACAGTATAATCAGGTCCTAATTGACTAAATACAAGATCAACTGAGCTAGTACTTAATGGTGAACGACTTCTAGCGCCACGTTCAACTACGCTATCCTTAGGAGTAATTGAATCTGAACAATCAACGCAATGTGTAGCCATTTCACCAACCTTGCAAAAAAAAATATATATCATGGTGATAATTTATTAAGCTAAATTGATAAATAATAAATACTTGTTGTATGTGCAAACATTGATTCTGCACATCGACCATCAATATTCTATCCGTCTGCATGCCGCAGTAATCCTTATATCCAATACCTGAATCACTATTGCTAGTTGTGGTTGTTGTGCTATCATGACTTGGATGTGGTGAATTTCCAACAATYGACATACGATTAGCATCGTTTTTATAATACTTTTCGATAGCAATTACAATTTGATCACAGTTTGGAGGGAATTGAGTACATACACCAGTCGAATCTCTGACACAAGTTATTTTAAAACTATTAGCTTGTGCAGAATGATCATCATGTGATGCTGGGTCTATAGCAAATACATGACAAGAGTTTGATGGCTCATCGTCTATAGATGATATAGTGACAACACCAAAATATTTGCTATTTTCATCAGAACTGGCAGCACAAAACATGACACGGTTACCTGGATAAACAGCTAAAGTTACACCTGCATTATTCTGTAGACAAAGACTGGATCCATATCCTGTCATTAATACAGCAGTATGAGAACGTTTTTCTGCTTTCAAACGTTTAATACAGCTTTTAACAACCTAATTAAAAACAAATTAAAATAATAGTGAGTTATTTTACTACTTGAAAACTTTATCTAATACAGATAATTAGTAAGACATAAAAATATAAGTATATAAGTTAAAGTAATTAGTATAAGAATCTGTTATCTGTAAGTTGTATTATTTTTCTTTTTTACACATTTTTATGATTTATTTATTTAGTTGTATGGCTTAACAAATCAACGTTACAGCAAATATACTTATTTTACATTTTTATAATGAAAAGCTACTTGTGATGAGTCAACAATTAAAACAAACGCAAAATTTAAATTAGATTAAGATAAATAAAACAAATTATTAGTGTTAATTATTATTAAGTTGTTTAAACATATATCTTCGATTATATTTTTAATAACAAATACAAGTAATAGGGAAGTACCTATATTATTTAGTTAAAAAAATTATTACTTATAGGTACATTGAATAATATGAGTTAAATTTAAAAATAGAAATTAGGTAMAATTGTAGATTTTAAATTATGAATTATAATTTGTAAATAATACCTTAAATAAAAATAATTAATAGATTTTAAATTACTAACTTGTAGACGAGATCCAGCAGGTATACATGGCATTTCAATTGAACCTAAATACCTCACGACTATTTGAAAATTATAAACAGTTACTGCTTCTTTATCAAATGTCGAACAATTGTTATTATTTCGATTACAAGGTTTTGATACGTGGGCAAACTCCATTCCATAAACTGCATTATCATTTCTCATTTTATTTACATTAATAGGAGTTAAGGCTGGCCTAGATTTGTGTGGATATTTTGGTCGTTGTCTTCCCAATTCATTTTTAAATTCTTCATCAGAGCTATCAGAATAATAATTCTCAGCAATTTGTAATCGCAAAGCAGATTGACATCCACCGATTAATTGTACTACATCATCATGTAATAATTTACTAACATTATGGTTGCTGACGGCTACCAAATAGTCGCCTGCTCTGAGACCAGCCTCATCGGCAGGGCTACCAGGAACAATACAACTAAGTATGCAGGGCTGCTGCCCAGATATAGTAAATCCAAATCCATTTTTTCCTCTATTTACTTCTACCATACGTACACCATAGTTGGGTCGTTTCTTACGTCTTCGTACAGGATGCATTGCAAAGAATTAACTTACATCCTTGAAGATTTCAATGCCCTGATTAGTAACTAAACTCGGTTTAATATTATTAAAAACTGTCACGTCACGAACAAAAATGAATACTTTCAATTAAAAAATTAATTACTCTTTATATAAGCTTAAAAAAATATCTCGGGAGTTAACAACAATTTTCATAAAATAAAGCCATTAAATATTTACTATAAAGTATAAACAGTAATTTATTACTAATTGCACTAGAATAGTAGAATGGAATGTATAATATTTGATAGAACTATGATATTTTATTATTTTAATGATATCCATTATAATATTATGCCAACCATGAACTTTTGACAAAATAAACCAAGGTTCCATTTTAAAACCGTTATAAATACCACTGTGGTAACAATAAGATATAATCTCATTGTGGTCTTATCACATTATCCGACTTCAAACCACGGCGTACTCGCTTACYGCCTTACTGCCATACTATAAAAACATAGAATATAGTTCAATTGTTCAATATAGTAATATACCATAATATGTCTTGTTATTAAACAAAAAATTGTTGGATTATTTAAAAAAATGAAAAAAAATGTTTGAACAATTTTAAATAGCTTATAGTAAATACATCAATATACATTTGAAGAAATTATTTGTTATTGAATAATATTTTAGCTAAATTTATTTCTTATCAATTATTTGTATTTGAGTTAAAATGGCTAATATTAGTATTAAATGTCAAAAGTGTCGATTTGAATTAGCATCAAGTGAAAGTTCATCTATTCTTGACTGTCACGAAAAACAAATTCAAAATACAGCTAGAGTTACATATAGTTGCAATGATAACGTAATGGAAAATAATTGGTACATATCATCTAATACTTTACCTCAATGGATAAATACAGCAATTGAAGAAGTAAGTACATCAAAAACAATTAATTTTACAAATTACAACTRAAGTTATAAGTAAACTATCAAATTATTTTTAAATTATATTGGATTATTGGTTTTGTTGTAGAGAATAGAGATTTGTATTGAGGTGTGAATTATTGTTATAATTTTATGTTTTCTCTCATCTCAATTGCAGAAACATTTTATATGATTTGTTAACTTTGTATTACTTGTACTGCTATTTCAATCAATGTGTTATAATAAAATGAAGTATACTTCATAACAAATTTGTGTAAATAAATTCCTGAACTTCTAAATTTAAATAAGTATAGGATTTATACATGGATTCTATAAAGTAGAGCTCTAAATAGTATTAACCTAACATACTTACATAAGTTTAAATTATAACAATATGATCAGACTTGTTGATATCTGTGATCCAGTGGTGTACTAACAGGGGAGTTAAACCCCCCCCCCAATTTTTAGAATGAATTTTTTTAGTATGAGAAAACTAAAATTTAGGATGAAATAAATTAAAAATAATCGCATAAATAACAATTAGTAGTCTATTAAAATTTATGATATATTTTGTTATGTTCAGATGGCAGGTTATCCAATATAATAAAAATTAACCCCAAATAAAATTGTTTTATCAATTTCAGGATGATTGGCAAAAGGGTAAATTGAGCTGTCCAAATTGCAATTTAAGAGTTGGTTCTTTTGACTTTGTTGGCGGTATGAAATGCCCATGTAAAAAATATGTATTACCTCAAATCCATTTAGTTAAAAGTAAAGTAGATATTTATTTTCGATAAAAATTGTGTATTCACTTCTGTTAATGTTATGTATGACTTACTGATTTTTGTTGATTTGTAAAGATTGTAATCTTATACTAATATACTAAAGCCACAATTAATTTTATGAATTGTTTAGAATTTAATATTTGTACTTATCAATTAGATTTCTACTCTAAATAAATTTTAATTTATTGCAATTCGAATATTTTATTTTCTAGTTAATATTACTGTAACACTGCATCATTAATTTATAGTACTTATGTTAAGTTCAGTGGCGTATTTTGGTTGATTTCTCGGGGG